AATAGTTTCACTTAAGTAGAGTAGTAGTTTGTCATGTGACACTTTTACTTTTACTTGAGTAACCTGCTTGTTTCCATGGATACGTCATTGCTCTGCCTGGAATGTTCCACAGTGTGGCATTAAAACAGCTCTACCTTACATTTATTCAATTACAGGTGGTTTTACAGCTCAAAAATAAATAGAAAAACAGAAATTTGACAGATCCTCCACCAGAAATGTTACACAATACACCTTTAAAGAAGACGTATTGTGCTTGTGCTTAATCCATGACATCTGTGGATCATTTTGTTATGTTTTGTATATTTTAAATCACAATATTCATCTGAAATTACTGAATTCTGGGTTGGAAAATTGCAGAGTGCAATGAAGCACATGATTTTTTATGTATTTTATTGGTTTTATTAATGTATTGCTATTATGTTTTTTGCTCTTATTTTATTTGACTGGTTTTGAGCGTTTATTTGATCATTATTATTACTATTGTTGTACTTGTGCAGCACTTTGGTCACTGTTTGCTTGTGAAATGTGCTATATACTGTAAATAAAATGGAAGTGGAAGTGAAAGCAACTTGGTTCTGATCTAAGTTCTCATGAGGCTGTTATGATCATTTCTGAACGTATGCACTTTTGGTTTAAAAGAGACGACAATAAACGCACTGACAGGATTTTGAATGTTAAAAAAACTATAAAACCAAACCATAAGGCGAGTGGAAAGAGTAGTAGTGGGCAAGTGAAGCTTTCCTGACAATAGAGGCTTTGCACCGTCACGTGACCCCTACAGCAACGGTACCTACGCCCCCATGACACCGGGCACATTATGTCATTGACTTCAGCAGCATCGGAGAAACATGGGCAGGTTTTGTTGTGTATTTGGTTGTTCTAGATGCTCTGAAAGGGATAAAACAAATCATTTCTTCGCTGTTCCTCTGGAAATTACTCATCAGGAGCTCAAACAAGGGAATTATCAAAAAAAAGACACGGATTATGGTTAGCAAAAATAAACCATTAAGACACCCGAAGTTTCATCAAAGTATTTGCTATTTAAATTGTTTCATAGCTTATTTAATGAAAGAAGCACATTTACTGAACAAAAATGTCATTAATTTATCCAGGAAAACCCGCACTAGTTACGATTCAACAAACCCACACTGGGCTCCCATGATCAACATGGCGCACGAGTCGAAGAGTCTGTGAGCCGAACCTCGAAAGAATCGGCCATGAAAAGATCCTCGCGAACGTTAGAAAAATCCGCTCGCAAAAAGCGATTAATTCTAGAAGACATAGTTGTGGATAAGCAAGACAATGAAGAAAACATGGGTCCTACGACGAGTGACATGTTTATATGTGCGATGGAAGATACAGTTTCTACTGCCGCTCACACTGCAAATGTTTTCTTTTTAAACTTTAGTTCAGTAAATGTGCTTCTCTCATTAAATAATCTATGAAACAATTTAAATAGCAAATACCTTGATGAAAATGACGTGAGTGTGTCTTGATGGTACCATAGGAAATCTCTTCGCGGTTTATGTTCTCTAGACATAATTCCTGTTTTTTTTTTTGATAATTCCCTTGTTTGAGCTCCTGAGTAATTCCCAGAGGAACAGTGAAGAAACGATTTGTTTTTTTCCCATTCAGAGCGTCTAGAACAACCAAATACACAACAAAACCTGCCCATGTTTCTCCGATGCTGCTGAAGTCAATGACATAGTGTTGCCCGGTGTCATGGCGGCGTAGGGTATCGTTGCTATAGGGGTCACGTGACGGTGCAAAGCCTCTATTGTGCCGAAAAACAAAGCTTCAAGACTTTAGTGACGGTGACATCCGGTGGACAACTGAAGCCACAGCGACCTCTAAAGAGCACGACTGATCTCAAGTTCAGAAACGTTTGTGTGATCATTCAAGTGTCTTTGTTCATTCATACCAAATAATGATTATATATCGTCATTACAGTAAAACATGCACACTCTAAAACACAATCCAGATGAATCCAAAGAACAAATGCAAATTATATTAAAGGGACAGTTCAGAATTTTGGACATAGGACCTCATTTCCTAGTGAGTCAGAGTGTTGGAGACGTGTGGAGACGCTTTTTAAAATATTCCATCCAGTCCTTGTATTTGCAGAGGTCACTGGTGCTAGACTAGTGCATGTCAATGGTCACAGTTATCCTGCCAATAAAAACAGTCTTACCCACTCCACAAAACACCCGAAGCAAATCTATTATTACACCAGACTGTCCATGTGAATGTCTGTGTCGACAGAATAATTTTAGAAGTAAAACCAATCTTGTATCGCATGAATCGTCGCATGTTGAGGGACTATTTTCTCAGCAGCAGTGGATTTTTACTCTGCTCTAGTTATTTGTGATGATATGAACGTGGTCATATCTGGAACAGGCTTCTTCCTGCGCTTTATGTGTCGCAGGTAAACAAACTATTACAGAGCCAGTAGGTGCTCGGTGATATCAGTCCGCCGCTGCCAAACTTTTTATCAAGAAGTACAACTCGCTGCTGCTGCTCAGACATAAATCCTTCAAATGCAAGATTGGTTTTGCTTCTGAAATGATTCTATCCACACAGACATTCACATCGACAGTCTGGTGTAATAATAGATTTGCTTCGGGTGTTTTGTGGAGTGGGTAAGACTGTTTTTAGTGGCAGGATCTCTGCAAATACAAGGACTGGATCGAATATTTTAAAAAGTGTCTCCACACGTCTCCAACACTCTGGCTCACAAGGAAATGAGGTCCTATGTCCAAAACTCCGGACTGTCCCTTTAACGGTTAAATGTTGGTTAAGGGTTTATCTAAAGCTTTGAGTTTATTCAAAAACTGTACTAAAAGTCTCTAACAGGATTAGAGACCCTTCCTACTACTCCTCAGAATGCACCGAAACGCCATGAGCCAATGAAAAGCTTCGAAACATTTTTGAAGCAACGGACGACGGAGCGAAACAGGAATGACGTTTGAAGCTACGAACGTCATCGGTCACGTGACACTGGTGTTTTGAGACAAGCTCCGACCCAGCGTTTTGAATCACTCCGCTTCAGGAAGAGTGACACAAGTAGGGGTGTGCAAAAATATCGGAATATCGATATATCGTATTGTTTAATGTGATGATACAGTATCGATATCGTGGGCTGCTGTATCGATATATCACCAACAGTATTTTTAGGTGTGTTTTACTAAATTATTTTGTTACAGCGCTACAGTTTTGTTGCTTGTGGAGTGAAAGGAAACTCATTTATGCAACACATTTGACATTTTTACTGTTTTGATGATTAAAATGTTTGTGTTTCATATGAACTTTGCACAAGAAGTGGTTTAACAAAGACTTTTAGTATCACAGCCATGATTTAGCCTTAATTTTTTATTGAACCGTATCGAATCGATTTGAAATATATCATATCGAATCGAAAGTACACTGTATCGAGATATGTATCGTATCGTGGCCTGTGTATCGAGGTATGTGTCGTATTGGCAACTTCTTAATGATACCCAGCCCTAGACACAAGCGCCAAAGCCTCGGGATCATTTGCCCATCACTAGAAAAGGGTTAACGTTTCATATTTATCCCTAAAAGTCTGGTTGATTCTACACATGTAGGTGCCGTAAAGTCATAAAAGTCTAAAGTCTAAAGTCGAGCAGAGTCTATGATTAAAACACGATATATGAAAAGATAGTGGGACCATAAACAAGCAAACGCCACATGATATGAAATCTACACGGCCTTTTTTAAGTACTTCTCTACGCACGGGTTTGGAATGAGACAAAGTTAAGTTTTACCTGTTTGAAAGGTACGGCACACAGCGTGGTGCCCACCGCTAAAGACGCTACACCGGTGAACAAAGCGCTTCTGGTCCGAACTGTCTGGGCTGCAGGTTTCACCTCGGTCAAGACGACACGACAGCTGCTCCTGGAAACACAAACGCATATATTTAAACTCGTGTAACGTTCAACTCTTTATTACAATTATGACCAAAATACAAGGGATGGGACAAGATCTCATGAGACAAAATTACAGTAAGAAAATGTAAACTAAAAATCTCACGAAATAATTTTAGATTGGACAAAAAAAAAGACGTAAGGGCTGGTAAATTACATCTCTAACGAAGCTGTGGTTTTTAAAAGTAGGTCAATTATAACTAAAATATTTAATGCAAAAATGTTAGACTAAAACTGTAAACGGGATGACACATTTTTTAAGTTACAGATAATGTAAAAATCTGGTTTAGTCTCGTTCTCGTGGACCTAATCTCGTGTCTCGTCTCGTGAAAAGCGTGTCTACTTCCACCTCTACAAAATACAATACAGTACAAACTTCAAGTGAAAAGTTAGTGGTGAAAAGAAGAACAATATGGCTGTGTCGCATTTCTCTTTCCTCACTTCCCTCTCCTTGATTCCTCTCCTGGATTCTGCAGGAAATGGGTGAGGAAGTCCCACCCACAGAGGAGACACAACGAGGAGAAAGGTTAGAACGTCCCCCCCTCTCCCGGGCACAGCAGTTACCCGTGTGCCGCCCAAGAGAAGGGAAGGGGACGTTCCCGCCAAGAGAATGGGACGCCTAAGGTGGGACTTTCAAGCAGGTATTCCTTTTTTCTTCACAAACTGACACTTAACTGGTATCAAACGATGACAAATATGACCACAGGCATTATTTACAGTTCATCCAATGTCGGCTAACACAAGTTTATGTTTGAATTCTTACAGTGGACACATTTTGAAGCTATAGTAAAAATAAATAAATTCACCGTGTATGTCACTAACAACTGAACTCTACTAGACACCTGAATAATCTTCTTATCTATCTCTCCATCTGTGCGGTTTTGGCAGATGTGACGTTGCGGTGACGTGTCTTTCTGGCGCCAAAAATCTGTACAAATGAGTCCGCAAGACACGTCACAGTAACATGAAGTGTCTCTTCTGAAGAAAGATGCAGGAGTCATTCCCAACATGTCACAGCACGTGTAAAACAACCCACTGTTCTGAACTTCTGAACTGAATCTAAAGTGAGGGAAATGCAATTGTAGTGAATGTTACTGCTGGATGACCACATGTGTCACTGAAAAAAAGAAAACAAATCTGATTGGACGTTGGTGTTTGGTTGTAGGTCAAGATGAGATCAGACTGACATCCATTTGACGGGTCACTGTAATGGAGGGAACTTTAGGCAAAACTGGAACATAGTGTGATCTCAGTTAAATAATAATAAATAGTTAGGTGTGGGAAGAATCCCTCAGTCTTCCAGGTAGAATCCATCAGGAGAAAAATTCAACTTAACTTTTGGTTGACAAACTGAATTTTTCTCCTGAAAAGAAGAATGGCAGAAGTGTCCACCAGCGTCTAACCAGAAGTGAAGAAGCAGCTTGGATGAGCTGCGAAACGTCTTCAACCAAACTAACTTTTGTCCAGTCGACAAACTGAATTTTTCTCCTCAATAAATAGTTAGAAAATTACAGGAAGTAGAGAGTTCTGTTTTAGAGTTCCATATGTGTAACATCACACTAGGACGAATTCAGTTTCAGAATTTCACTTTCAGTTTGTCACAATTTACCTGCAAGAAACAGATTTTTCTGATACTTTAAACATTATTTAAACTAAATAAATGTGTTTTATTAAAATTGTATTTGTCCAATAATAATTTCTTGTGGTCACAAAAAATTCAGCATAGGAAACCCTTAGAAAACAGTTACTGTTTCAGTGAGTGGTAATTGGATTACAGTTACTTTGTTGAAATAAATGGATTAAACGGCGGTATTTTCCTGTTTTCACATTTTGGGATATATCCCTTTTTTTTTTTTTTTGTCGGTAATTCCACTCATTGGGGAAACTAAACTAGATCTAAACCAGGACTAAACCAGGACTAAAATCAAGTCTAAACTAGATCTAAACCAGGTCTAAACCAGCACTAAAACCAGGTCTAAAACCAGGTTTAAACCAGGTCTAAACCAGGACTAAAGCAGGACTAAAACCAGGTCTAAACTAGATCTAAACCAGGTCTAAACCAGGACTAAAACCAGGTCTAAACTAGATCTAAACTAGATCTAAACCAGGTCTAAACCAGGTCTAAACCAGGACTAAAACCAGGTCTAAACTAGATCTAAACTAGATCTAAACCAGGTCTAAACCATCCTAGTCTTTGCTTCTCTACAGCAAATCAAGTAATCCAAAGTATTCAGATTACGTTACTCACTTTAAATAATTTAATGGATTACGTTACAAACTACATTTTGGTGTATGCAATCTGTAATCTGTAGGGGAATACATTTTAAAAGTCACCTTCCCAACACTGACTAAGGTTGGAATTCCCCAGCATCATGTCATCATCTCCAAACAGAAAGTAAACATTTAAACCTAAGAAATGGATAAAACGTGAATTTATTTGCAATATTTTTTTGGTTTAATCTTAAATATAACGTTGTTTTGGTAAAATAAGTGATCTTTCTTGTGATAGAGCTTTTAAGAACAGTGAGATTAAGACACAAACACATGAACACGCAATCTTCTCCAGAGTTTTGGAAATATCTGAGGCTCTGTTGTTTCCTGTAATCGTCTAATATCATAAAATTAGAGATTATTTTACGCATTAGAATAAATCTGACAACTCTCCTGTTTTGGTTTTTGTTCTGTCCGAGTGTTTTTAACAGAGAAGTTTGGTTTTGTTGATCAGATAAACTTAACATGACACAACCAGACGACTTCCGATATGTTGTAATATTCGTCTAAACGTGACCGTGAAAACAGCTGATGGTGAAAGCGAGGACATGTTTCACTTATATAGAGAAATAAATGCACAAACAGATAATAAAAATAAGAGAAAAGAGTAAAATTGTACCTGAGAACAGAGAGGTAAGACTTCCACCTCCTCAGTGCCGCCATGTTGGTGCTCCTCTGTAAAGTGTCCGGGTCAGGACCGGCTGCTTCTCGCGTAATGACCGACAGAGGGCGCCACGGTCCACACAAAACTATTACTATTATTATTTATATATTTTTTTTCATTATTTATTTGTTTATTTTTTATTACTCATGCTATTATTTTGTTTGCATCAATTTAAACAACAATAACAAAAAATCTAAAAAAATCTGATAATTAACATAAATACACATTCCAACCGTTACTTTTTGGCTTGTCTTTGCTGCAAGAACAAAAGGAACAGGAATATTAATCTTAAAAAAAAAAAAAAAAAAACATGCTCCTTTTACAGATAAAAATAAAGAAAGAAATAATAATAAACAAATAAATAAATGCGCTTAACAATGAAACCCCTTTGTTTGGAGGAATAAATGTCACAATATCTGGCCAACAGAGGGCGCTGCAGTTCACACAAAACTATTATTATTATTATTATTATTATTATTATTATTATTATTATTATTGGAGTGGAGGAGTTTCAAGTTATCTCAATGGGGTTTTGTTCACGAGTGAGGGACGGAGCATGAGATTGACAGGCAGATCGGTGCAGCGCTGGCAGTGATGCGGTCGCTGTATCGGGCCGTTGTGGTGAAGAGGAAGCTAAGCTGAAAGGCAAAGCTCTCGACTGACTGGTCAGTCTGTGTTCCTCCCCTCACCTATGGTCATGAGCTCTGGGTAATGACTGAAAGGACGAGATCGCGGATACAAGCAGGGTGGTTGGGAGCCCCCTTAGAGATAGGGTGAGGAGCTCAGTCACACAGGAGGAGCTCAGAGTAGAGCCGCTGCTCCTCAACATCGAGAGGAGCCAGTTGAGGTGGCTTGGGCATCTGTTTCAGGTGCCTCCAGGGTGCCTTCCTCGGGAGGTGTTTTGGGCATGTCCCACCGGGAGGATGATTCGGGGAAGACTCAGGGACACACTGGAGGGACTATGTCTCTGGGCTGGCCTAGGAACACCTCAGGGTTCCCCCAGGGGAGCTGGAGGGAGTGTCTGGGGTGAAGGAAGTCTGGGAGTCCCTGCTTAGACTGCTGCCCCCATGACCTGGCCCCAGATAAGTGGAAGAAAATGGATGGATGGATGGATTATTATTATTATTTTATTGCTCATGCTATTATTTTGTTTACATCAATTTACAGAGAACAACAACAACAACAAAATCTGACAATTAACATAAATACAGATTCCAACCATTATTTGCCTCGTTTTTGCTGCACAAACAAAAGGAACAGGAAGAAGATAAATCTTATAAACTCTGCTCCTTTCACAGATTAAAAAAAAACAAACAAAAAAACAAAACAAAACATGAAAGCCCATTGTTTGGAAGAATAAATGTCACAGTTTTAAAGAAGAGGTACTACTGTGTACTGTTGAGAAGTAATTTTTAGAAAGCTATTTTTTCACTTTTATAGATTTAGGGACATCCAACACTATATTAAAAAATGAAATGACTGAAAAAATGTAGTGAATGATAAAAAAAAAAGAGTAGTAGATTTGTAGAATGGTGCATGTTGTAGAGAAGAACCAGTCTGACCCACATTATTACAGGGCAAGAGGGAAGAACATGAAGCTTTTATTAGTGCAGGGCTCATGGTGCTGTGGCCTATTTCATAAAAAGAACAGTCCATAGTTCAGCCAACCAATTTTTTTGTTAATTGTTACAAATAATAATAATAATAAATATATTCCAACTCTCTGGGCTGCAGTGTGGCTGGTTCTGTGATTAAAAACAATATTTATATTCCCCCAGGCCTGTGCCGCTGCTGCCACCTTGTGGAAACAGTTTGTCAGACTCAAAAATCCAAACTAATACAGATGGATGAATGACAGATTTTATGATTCTTGAATTTTTTCCCTTAATTTGGTGAAAAAATACCTGTTGTAAATATAAATGATCTTTTTACACAGATCTGAAAGCAGTTTGTTGACGTAGTGACACTCACTGGTACTTCCGCAGAAAAAATCCCCTGGGCTGAGACAAGATTTTTTTTATAGAGGCAGTGTAATCACAAACTGCTCGTGCTCGGCCGACGGGGACCTACAACTTTCAAAAATGTTGGATTTTGTGGCGATTTTTACCTATTTTTAGATCATAAACTTTTTCTCAGCTCAAAATCCTTCAGTTGTCTTAAAAAACATTATCTAATCGTTCACTCTGGCTCCACTTTGTAACACAGATGCAGTAAAGTAATGCAGTGATACAGACGCAGTAAAGTACTGCAGTGACACAGACGCAGTAAAGTACTGCAGTGACACAGACGCAGTAAAGTACTGCAGTGACACAGACGCAGTAAAGTACTGCAGTGATACGAGTGACTGAAATGGTCTTTTAAACCACCAAAGCTCCAAACACAATGGAAACACTTGATACAAGTGACACTGGGCGCAGCCGTCTTGGATTCTTGGAGTTCTGCCAGTCTCTATATCTAATATAGATATAGATATATCTAATATAGAGACTGGCTCCAAACTGACCCCTGTATCCGTTTGCATCGTGGGTGGGTGTGGGTGACCTCACACTCGCTTAGTCCACTTTTTTATACAGTGTAAAAACACACTTTTTGAAATATGAATCATATTAATCTGATGACTTTAAAGTCCTTTCAACAGACAACGATCACATCTTTAGGGTTGAATAATGGCACCTCTTTCTGAATTCACTTTTGTTTATTTCTGCTGACAGAGGAGACTCTGAACTTGAACTTTGAGTCGGTTTTTGTTTTGTGTGGATTGACCCGGTGATTACAGATATTAACCATAAACCAGGTCAACAAATCTGCAACGTGACAGTCAAACATCAATTTCCACCACAGTATTGTGCCCTGTCTCCAGCTCCATTATAAACTACAGGGATTCTGAAACGCTGTGATGAACGCTGTGATGTCACGAGGTGTGAGGACCTGACCTCCAGTATTATTGAATACAGACGAGGGGGCAGCAAAAAGTATTATTATTATTAAATTCCATGTTTTTGTTGTAATACAGTGAGTTCTTGGGTCTAGTTGTTAATAGAAATGATCAGGTTCAACATTTGTGAATTTACTTTTTAGATTTTTTACATATTTGTCATGAAAGTACAACGTAAACAATCGAGAAATCAGACTAAACCAGGACTGAACCAGGACTAAACCAGATCCCTGTCTCAGTCCCCCCCCCCACCAGCCCTTCATGACATGGAAGAGCAGATTCAGTCACACAACACATTTTTAGTGGAATTCAAAACGTTGCGAGAGAAGTTTCTGATTAGCAGAGAACTCACTTTTAAAAGACGCTAAACGCGGTTAAACTTAAAATACGAAAAGTAATTTACGAAGTAGCAGTAGTAAAAACAGCAAAATGCATCAAGATCATCCTCACACCTGCGTCGGCAAGAGGAGCTTGGATGACACCTTTTTTTTTATATCAATGAACTGCAGCTAGTCTCTGACTGATCGGAACAAGACTCTATTACCCATCTGCCTCGAGAATCTTAATGCCCCTTCTGCTTTATATGTAAAGCCAACTCTTTTCTGGCTTCTTAGTTTAAGCAATGTGCAATTTTCACTTGTATTCCATTTCCAAGCTCAAGGTTATTTTGTTCCTCTAATCGCGACTTTTTTTTTATCCGTGATGATATTTGAGCTTTGGGCTCCACTCCATAGAGTTGGTGGAGTGACATCTCCAGTGTCATTTGTCTCTAAATAGTCCCTCATAGTTTGTTTTAGTTCTTGAACTACCTCTGCATTGTTAAGTAGTGATACATTTAGCCTCCAGTACTTGAAAAAATTCTCCTTACAAAGATCAAGGTGTAAAGTTACAGGTGCATGGTCACTCAGAGTTATCGTTTCTATATGGCAATCAATTACTTTATGCATGTGCAGTTGAGAGATGCAAAAGAAATCTATCCTCGAATAGCTATTATGAACATTGGAGAAAAATGTGAAATCTTTCATACTTTGGTTCCTATGTCTCCATGGATCCCCCAAGCCAAGTTCTGTTATCATGTTACTAAGCATTTTTGTTTTCCTAGTCTGTGGACCTGTCTCTGCTGGTGATCTGTCTAGTTTACCATCCTGCACAGCATTAAAATCTCCACCAACTACACCTTTTGCATTCTCTGCTATAATATTAGCAATTTCTTTGAAGAAATTCTCATCATATTCATTTGGAGCATATAAATTCATAATACATAATTCCTCATCCCCAACCCGTCCAACTACCATCACATATGTTCCCCATTTGTCTTGTATTACACTTTCTTTTGAAAAAATAAGTGATTTGTTAATCAAAATAGCTACTCCTCTTTTCTTTCCAAATGATGCATAGTATATTTGGTTTACCCATTCTCTTTTAAGTTTTTTATGTTCCAAATCATTCAGATGAGTTTCTTGCATTAGAGCTATGGAGCACTGCATCTTCTTTAACTGGTTGAATATCTTTTTTCTTTTTATAGGATGACTTAAGCCATGTACATTATATGTTAGAATACTGAGGTTTCTCATGAAAATACCTTAAAATTATTAAGGCACATCTTATTTTCTTTCTTATACAAAAGACAATACAACATGTATCTATAGTTTCGTGATTGCACCATTAGTATGTTATTCAAAGTACAGGTTGCACCCATTAGAACAAAAGTTTTGAACATGAACATAAACAGACTTCCAAACGTTAAACAAACCGAACACGCGTCCTTAAAAATGGTCGCTATGGAAACGGAGGAGGGTGACGAAAATCCTCCGCATAGTACAACACTCCGTGCAGTGGCAATAGTCTCACGGCAAAACGCTGTGCAAAGGGCTGCCTTCGCAAAAACCAACGTAAAGTAAATATAACCAAACAAAAAAGTCATCCCACTTTCTTCTGAGTAGGAGAAGGACCCCTTATACTAAACTATAATGATTACATCGTAGTGTCACTAGCCTTAATTAGTTAACAGTTATAAATCAAATAATTCGCACAATTCTTGCCTACTTTGCTACTCAATTCTCAATTCCTTCAGTTATTTGTCACCTCGTAGGAGCAATTGCAAAT